CAGGGGGTTGGACTGGATGGCCCATGAGGTCTCTTCCAACTCTTTGATTCTATGATTCTATGATTCTACAGCTGTACCAGAACAAGATGGATGAATGGTATCCTTGAAGTGACCGGTTTGGCCCTGAAGGAGCTGGGGGTGGTAACGGCCAACAGGGAGCTCTGGCGTGGGCTGGTCCAGGAGGCCACGAAGAATTGGAAGCGACTGAACAAATTAACAACAACAACAACAACAACAAAGAACAACAAAGTCTCAGAATCTTAGCCCAACATTGAAAGCAAAGTACTATGATAACATTTTCTAATTAATTCATTTTTAATAACGAGAGGGCAATTAATATGATGTGAGATAGCTTCAGTTCTTTTATGGCATCGCTGTAATTGTTTTAATTTTAGAGTCGTGTGACAGGTCACAAGCACTTCCATTTTACATCTGGGTTGCTTGGGTAACAGAAAATAACCAGATCAAACCTACCAGATTGAAATTCCAAAAACACGCGGCGTCGAGAAATGTTCAACCTTAATGGTAGCATGCTACTAGTCAAAAGTGCTTATGTAGGAAAAGGAAAATGCATATTTTGCATTTTATAATGGTAAGTAATGACTCTTCCTTTTCGGTGATTATGGTTTTGTGTGTAAAACAAAAAAATGTATATAAAACAAAAATATATGGACGGAATATTCAAAGGTTAATAAGCCCACAAAACAACCCACAAGACCACACAAAAACCCACATCCTAGATAAAACTCTTCTACTATTGAGCTGTTAGCAAAGCTATTAAATTTAATTGCAGTATAATTACATAGCCGAATACCTAGCTAATACCTAGCTATCAAAGCCATTGAAAGCTCATTTAAATGTACACAAAACACAAGGGAGAGGAAGAAGGAGAAGTTTGCCTCAGGTCTTGCGAGATTCCAGAACTCAGCTTCGCTCTCATGCTCAAGCTCACAATAAAGATGTCAATCCAAGAAGGTGGCCTCCTCTCTCCAACAAGAAGAAATTCAAGTTCCTCCAAAAAAAACCTTTCATTTATAGAAACAATTTGTTCCTTTTTAAATCCATCGTGGCATTTGGAAGTGATGAGTCCTAGGAATGTGTCAATATTTTATTTTCAGAGTCTGGGAGTAATTGAAGGCATGAAAGTGGGTCACCACCTTCTGCTCTTCCTCTTGGTTCTATTTTCTGTTCCCTTCTTCTCTTCCTCCTCCTTCTTGTCTTCCTTCCTCAGGGGTGGCTCAACCCATTACGTAAAGTAGGCATTTGCAGTATAGTTGATTTTGCCCCAGGGCACTCTTGAGCCGCTCTTGGGAGAAAATAGACCTTGACATATGTGAGTTGTAGTTACTGGGATGTATAGTTCACCCACAATCAAAGAGCATTCTGAACTCCACCGATGATGGAATTGAACCAAATATGACACACAGAACTCCCACGACAAACAGAAGATCCCAACAAAGCAAATTGCCAACAATGAAATACATATTGAGATTCTGGATATGGAATGCGGCATGGAGGAGGGGGGGTGTTGCGCCAGCCGAGGGGCCCCCATAGAAGTGGTGGTGGGGAAGGGGAGATGCGGGAAAAGGAGACCATTAATTCGGCCTAGGGATCGTGTAACAACATTAGTAATTCCAAACCGGTCTCCTGATATGGTAAACTGGTGTAACCAGGATGGCGGTCCCTCTGGATTGAAGGTGGTGCTGTTGAACGCCAGATCTGTCAATGGAAAAACAACTTTCATCCAAGACTTAATCCTGGATGAGCGGGCAGATCTGGCGTGCATCACGGAGACCTGGTTGGACGAAGCGGGAGGCGTGAATTTGACCCAGCTTTGCCCACCAGGTTTTTCCGTGCAGCACCAGCCGAGATCCGGAGGGCGGGGAGGCGGGGTCGCAGTGGTCTATAGAGATTCCATCCCTCTGACCAGGGGCCCCATCCCGCAGTCAACAAATTTTGAATGTGTCCACTTGAGGTTGGGTGACCGGGACAGAATAGGGATTCTGTTAGTGTACCACCCACCTCGCTGCACTACCGTCTCCTTACCTGAGCTAGCGGGGGTGGTCTCAGGCGTGGCATTGGAATCCCAGCGGCTCCTTGTGCTGGGGGACTTCAATGTCCATGCCGAGGCGGCCCTTTCAGGAGCGGCTCAGGACTTCATGTCTGCCATGGCAACCATGGGGCTGTCCCAGCAAGTATCTGGCCCCACTCATAGTGCAGGACATACATTGGACTTGGTTTTCTGCCAGGGATGGGAGGAAGGTGGTGGGGTCGAGGAGCTGACCATCTCTCCGTTGCCATGGACTGACCACTTCCTGGTCAGATTTAGGCTCACTGCGCCCCCTAACCTCTGCAGAGGTGGAGGACCCATTAAGTTAGTCCGCCCCAGGAGGTTTATGGATCCGGATGGATTCCTGATGGCTCTTGGGGAGTTTCCCGCCGCCTCGGTAGGTGATCCTGTCGAGG